GACCTTGTTTTTTTGTGAAATGGAGAGAGTGTGTGGTCAGCTGCTCCTGAGGTCCCACACGCCTGGAAATCTGTGTCTTTTATTTTTTATTTTACTCTATACTGTAATTGAAAACATTTCAGCAGAAATTTGCTTAGCATGACTTTTATTTAAGAGAAATAATGAATTAAAATCAATTAAAATATTAATTGATATAATATCAATAAACATAACTAATCAGTTAAATATGTTTTCCTTTTTTGAAAGAGAGAGAGAATTTTTTAATATTTTTTTAGTTTTTGGTGGACACAACATCTTTTTTATTTTTTTATGTGGTGCTGAGGATCGAACCCAGTGCCCCGTACATGCCAGGCGAGTGCGTTACCACTTGAGCCACATCCCCAGCCCGTTAAATATGTTTTCTTTTGCCTAAAAATTATATTTGAAATTGTGTTGGTGGTTGGGATACTTTCCTTGGTGGGGGGCTAGCTTTCTTTGCAGTCTTTAGACCAAATCTTTCCTTTGTAACACAGCGTCCCTAGCAGCATCCAAAACCATGGGAGGTGTCCTTGGTGCTGAATGACAGGGGGAGAGTCTGATAATCAGCACCAGGCTCAGAAACATCTTCCTGGGTTAGAATAATCCTGTCTACACAACTTACCAGCTGTAAGACCTTTGGCAATAATCTCTGTGTGCATTCCCTCATCTGCAATTTGGGACAGTGATAGTCCCTTTCTGCTTTCGTTGAGAGACACATATGGTGCGGTGGGGGGAAGTGACTACATTCTGGGTTGTTGTTTGTTTTGTCTCTTTCTTTGGAGGGAGATGTCCTGAATAGAGAAAGCTGAGAAAGAACAAGATTCTTAAAAGCCAAGCTGTGGTGCTGCCCAGGGGATGGGAGCTGCTCAGAGCCTTCCAGGGCTTCCCCGTGTTGTCATGGGGATTGATTAGTCAATGTGTGTGCCCTGTTTTGGAGTCACTTTGTGGTAAGCATGTGCAGAGAGCTGTGACTCAGATGCTAAATTATTTCCAAAAGGGAAAGTGTGTGGTAGGGTTTCTCAGTGACGGAGCTCCCACATGTGATATCCTACCTGGAAAACATCCTTTTGAACTATGCAAATGAATTTTGCCAAAATATGTTGATCAAATATTTGGTTAAAAAGAGTTTAGGTTAAAATTAATTTGGGGGGGGCGGATACTGGGGATTGAACTCAGGGCACTTGACCACTAAGCCCCATCCCTAGCCTTATTTTGTATTTTACTTAAAGACAGGGTCTCACTGAGTTGCTTAGCACCTTGCTTTTGCTGATGCTGGCTTTGAACTTGCAATCCTCCTGCCTCAGCTTCCCGAGCCCCTGGGGTTACAGGCGCATGCCACCGTGCCTAGGTAAAATTAATTTTTTTTTTTACATTGGAAATGGACATTTGGAGAACTATCTATTCAAATTGTATGATCATTTTTAATTGCATTTTATTAAGTTGTAATAGTACTTTTTTATTGGTTGTTCAAAACATTACAAAACTCTTGACATATCATATTTCATACATTAGATTCAAGTGGGTTATGAACTACCATTTTTTAAAGTAACATTTCTCATTTTGATTCAAGTGGGTTATGCACTCCCATATTACCCCTTATATAGCTTGCAGAATCACATCAGTTTCACTTCCATTGCTTTACATATTGCCATCCTAGTGTCTGTTGTATTCTGCTGCCTTTCCTATCCTCTACTATCCCCCCTCCCCTCCC